AACTGCATTCTAGACAGTCTGACCAACACCACATTAAAGCCTGGATTTTGCATAAATCATCCTCCTTGAAATTCTAATAAATCACCAGCAACCAGCACTTAGCATTTGCAAGCATTAATCTTTCTTCACTCTTCAGGAGAGTCCTGAATCCACCTGTTACCTTTGCAGAAACATTCATATCCATCCCCACAGAGACCTCTGCTGGAAAGAGGAGAAATGGAGCATCTGACCTCCAGAGAGCTCAGGACTTTTCAAAGGGGCAGAGAAGTCTAATATGTATTGAAAAGACACATGAGCCCAGTTCTATGCTGGATGCTTTAATACATCATCTCACTTAATCCTCATACCAGGTCAGCAATTATCTCCTCATTTTCCTAATGAGGAAATAAGGTCAAAGAAATTGGGTTTATCCATTTGTCCAACATGTATTGAGTGAGCAAAACCAAACATGCCCCTGCCCTCACGGAGCTTACAGTCTAGTGGGAGGGGGAATTAATCCAAGAATCTTACAAAAAAAAAAAAAAATAGCACAAAGGAGAGGTTTATGGTGCTATGATACAGATAAAAGGGAAAAGTGACTAGTCCGCAATGTTAAGAGAAGGTCTCCATGAGGAGGAGATGACTAAGTTGAGGTATGGGGGGAAAAAGGATTTAACTAGGTCAAAATGAAGAAGGGGTACAGTGACAAATGTGTCACATGGAGGCAACATCAGGTGCAAAGGCACTATGGTGGAAATACATGATGCATTCAAGGAGCCAAGCAAAGGCCAGAGCACAGACCGGATACAGGGATCAAAAGCCAGCATGGTGAGAACCAGAGCTGGAAAGGTAGGCAGAGGAAAGACCACAAAGGACCTGAGGACCACTAGGGATTACATTTTTATCATAAGAGCAATGGGAAGCCATGTGAATGTGACACAAGAGGTTTGAAAAGACCTTCTAACTGAGGTAGGGAGAACAGACTGGAGGAAAGAGGGAGTGAATGTGGGAAGACCAGGACACCAGCAGAGGCCATTACGGGATTCAGGTAAGAGGTGACAGGCACCTGAACTATGGTGGTGACAATGGAGATGGAGAGAGGTGGAGCTGCCCACAGCCACACCATCAGTAGGCTGACAGAGCCAAGACTGGTATCTTGGTTTGTCTGACTTCAAAGCCCATGTTTCTCTCTACTTTGCCATTTATTTATTCACTCAGCAATGAGTTACTGATCATCTGCTATGTGCCAGGTCTCTGCTAGTGCTGGGGATATAGTCATGAACAACACAGACACTTCTCTCATGGAGTTCACACTCTAGACTTTAAACAAATGAGAATACTAACAAATGTGTACAATTACAAATTGGGTTGAGTGCAATGTAGGATCAATTGTAACAGGTAAAATTACCTATAAGGCCACAAAGATCTTCTAACGGGTTGATAAGATCAAAGAGCCACTTGCCTACTGCATGAGAGTGAAAGATTTTAGGAAACTTTGCCTGTCAGAGTTTGATATTGAGCACCACATCCCTGGCCAGCTCATGAGCCCTCAGGGCAGAAGCTAGTATGTCTCAAGCTCAGCACTGACCCTGCTGAAACAGAGGTCTTTCTGAAAGCAACTACTAACTCCTTAGTTTACTTACATATCCCAACCTCAGGCAACATCACTTATGTATGCATTTCACAATAGCTGGGATCTTTCACACAGATTCATTCGTCTGAACCTCAGGACAACCTTATATAGAATGCAGGGAGGTCTCGATAAGCTACTTGAAAGATGAGGAAACTGAGGCCTAGACAGGTTAAGTGACTTAATCAACATCACCAAACTAGGAAGGCACCCAGACCTGCCAACCAACTCTCTCTACAAGAACCTCTGGCCAGGAAATCAGGAATGCACGTTACTGAGCCTGGAGGAAGTCACCCAGGAGTCCCATGAAGTTCCTAAGAACAATGATCAGGGACATTAAGCAGCTTGGGAAAGGTTTCTAGAATGCAGTGCCACCAGCCTGAGACACAGGTACCTTTGCCAACTCTCCCAGATTAGAACAAGTTCTCTTGGACTCTTTCCAAGTGCCTCTGACTAACAGAGAAAAGTATTTTTCCATCACAAACACTGCAGAAAGACACCAGACTCCTGAGAGGGGAGGGCAGAGAACACAACCTAAATCCCACACAGACAATCTATAAAGTTATTCTGATAACATGTGAACTGCCCTAGCTAAGCACCTACCCCTGGGGATGTCAGTTTTGGGCAGTGTTTCTCAATCTTGACACTATTAACATTAGGGGCTGGATAATTCTTTCTTTTGTTGCGCTGCCCTTGCACTGTATGATATTCAGCAGAATCCCTGGCCTCTCCCCACTAGATGCCAATAGCATCTGCACATGAACTCTTTTTTTAATCAATATCACACAGCTGATGCCTCCCAGAATAAGACTGAGAGCAGCCTCTGTGCTGATGTGGCCTGGAAGTACATCCCAGGAACAATTCACCAGTGGAGCTTGTGAAAACAACTACAGTCAAATAACTCCTTGTTCCACTAATGAGCTGCTTCTGACCCTGTGAGGAAATCTTGTTCCCATGAATATGAGCAGCTGAGTCTCATTAAACAGAAGCCCTGGGTGTTTCTTCTCAATGACACCAGGCCAAGGCAAGGGCTTCCATTGCTGCTAGAAGGAATACAACATCGGTGAATCAAATAATAGGGGACTCCCATTTACCCAAAATTCAGTACAACAATCAGGACACTCAAACATCCCAGCTTTTAACCACTCTGGACTTAGGAGAAAGGGGAATGTGACAATGTACACAAACAAGCGAGCTGAATTAACAAGTTAATTAAACAGCTGAGATGTTACCAAAAATCATGCTCTCGAGTGGAGGTGGAGACCTAAAGTTTAGCTCCAGAGCAGCTGGGGTGACTCAGACAGTGTCAGGGACGTGGGTTCCAACCTCCCACCCCGAGATGGGCTGCTGGCCAGACGTGGGAATCAGCATCAGTTACAAGGCTTCAAAGCTAAAGTCAAAGAAGCAACATCTTTATGTCTTTCACTCATCAACTTCCTAACTAGTTAAAGGGTTTACTGACAGACTCAACCAAACTCCCCACCATTTGGTAGTAAGTGTCTTTTACTGCACTGCAAGTCTTTGAAGACTGACTAACCACAAAACGCCTACCTGTTAACACCCAATTACTCAGACTACAGCAAGTTTGCATGCTACTTTTGCACTCTCTACTTAGCTCTATTGTTGAACATCTCATACCGGAATGTACTAAAATTTGATTACAGGTCTGTCTCCCCTAGTGGACAGTGGGCAAGATTTCCATCTAGTATAAGGCGTGGTACATAAACAGACCCTTACCATTTGTAAGATGGTTGGATGGACAGATGAATGAATGGAAAGATGGGCAGATGGATGGTAAAGTTCTCCACCTCTGTATTTGTAGACTTAAGCCTACCTACCCATTCTAGTGGGAAGGCATGGCCCATGTCTTTTCTCCTCTGTTTCTCCAAGGCTTAGCACATTGCTCAATAGGTGCCCAATGAACATTAACTGATTTGACTCCTGAGTCCAAAGAGACAAAGTGAAGTCTTCAGTTCATGACCCAGTGAGTCCCAGGAAAGAGGTCAGCAATCCTAGCTATCTGCTCTGCCTCATATGCAGCTGAGAAAGTTTAGTCTCTCTTAACTAGAAACAGTTTGACGTAGGAAATGAGCACATTCTCTGATAGGCAGTGGAGATACGGATGTGAGCAAGACTAATATGCTGGCTTCCCTCACAGTCTTTTGTCTGAAGTAAAAGACAGATATGAACAATTACACAAATTAACAACTACAATGCTCAGTGAGTTTCTTTAAGACAAGTTTCTGTAGATGGGCCCAGTCTTTAAGCAGTCTGAACCTCTTTAAGGAAAGTCATGATTTGCCTCCAAATGAATGACACATTTTCCTTAGAGCATCCTCTGAAGTAGTAATAAGGAAAGTTTGTTATATACCTTTGTTATACAGGCCTCTATTCTAAAATGTTCATAAAAATTTTTAAAAGACCAGTTTAAAAGCATCATAGATATGAATGCTCACAAGTCTATGTTTGTATGTATAAATTTATAGTGTGTGTGACTTACCAAGGATAACTGAAGCTGACATGAAAACCTGCCAAAGCCAGAAACTTCTGAAATAACATCACCAGGCATTTGAGAGTCTGGAGATAGGAGTATAGCTAGAAATCAGACAAGAGTAGGAAAGGGGACTCCCGAGCACCCCTGAAGTTCAGAAGGCCTTGGCATGATAACAGATCTTAAGAACTTCAATTGTCTGGAAAACTCTGTGGAAATCAGCAGGAGCTATACGAAGGGAGGGATGAAGAGAGGCCACAAAAAACAAAATCTGACAACAAAGCCAGGAATATGAAGGCCAGGAAAGGAGAACTGTCCTAAGGGAAAGATAGGAAACAGAAGACTCAAGAAAAGATGAAGATGTCCAAAGCTGTATGGCATGATATGGTAGCATCTGAGGGAATGTATGAGATGTCTGAATCAATGTACATAGTTTACTACAAACAATAAAAGTTTAAATCAGAATACCATGCCAACTAGGACTCAGAATAATGCTCCTTTCTCAACCTTGAGATATTTAATATTTTCTGATGCTTTTAATTTAGACTTGGGTACAAATAGAGTCATCTCTTCAGCTATGACAAGGCAAGGATTCCCCAATATCCTAGACAAATTTCTGGATGATACTTGTTGCAATGGCTCTCTTCTCAAAACCTCATGGACTCTCAGGACAAGAAAGAGTTAACCTAACCCAGGTTTGCCTTTGAGGGTGCAAACCTGTGATCCAGAGAGGAAAAGCCACATATCTGGCAGATGGCAGAACTAGACCCCAGGTCTTCCCCTTTCTGGTCTTTAAAGCTTTTAATCAATAAAAATCCTTAACCCCAAGCATTCATGGCTGTTTAGACAGCTGTCCCCCAACTGCTCATACAAACCATAAATTCTCTGCTACTCTCTCACCTGTCTGAGCAACCAGGTGTGTCCATCCACTCCAGACTGCAGTGACCTTTTCATTCTGAAAACAATGTGCTTCTATTTTCTGGGGCATAGGAAGGAAGGCAGCCTCGGTAACCAGTTGCCCATGCTTGTTGCTTCCCCAAACATACACCTCTCCTGCATCTTAAACAAACAGAAGGGGAACGAAAGAGGTAAAGGAACATTAGTCCAAATGATGTAAGATGACAGAAGTCTGAAAAAGTAATAGTTAAAAGTTTTATACTTATGTTACAATGTGGAGTGAAGCCAAGCCAGATACAAAATTCATATATAGCATAATAACATACTATTAAATTTTTTAAAAATTCTATACATAAGAAACAAGGCCAAATGTTCTTAGGAGCTTAAGGAATAAGAATGGGGGGGGGTTTCTTTATTTATTCATTCAACAAATATCTATGATATGTGTGACATGTTTCTCTCCTTTCTACATTTTTAAAATATATGTTTACATTACCTTTAGTTAGAAGAAAAAGTTTTAACTTTAAAATAACAGGCTAAAGGATATATTATCTTATTTTATATTATTAATTTAAAAGATAAATGTTTTAAATATAAGATTACTTCACTGCATACTCTGTCCAGCAGAAAATATAATGCTACAGAATCACATTTGTGTAGCACTTCAGCTTGTTTCAACCTCACAATAATCCTGTAATATAAGCAGGAATGTGACTGCCACTGTTTAATAGAAAGAGAGCAAATTCAGAGTCAAGTGACTCTGGCTTCTATTCCTGGATGTGCTAACTAGCTATTGACCTTGGACAAATCACTTCCTCTCCAAGACTTAGTTTCATCAGCTAAAAATTAGAAGGGAAGGCAGTTGGTCTAGAAGGGCAGACAATATGACTGATGACATTGGAAACAAGAGTGACTGGTAGGTGACTGTGGCAAGCCAGAGAGCACTCACATTCAAAATGTTTTTTAAATGAAAGCCAAACAAAAGGAGGCCATGGACTATAATTTAGCCTATGGCTTGTCAGTTTGTGACTCCTCAAAGGAACTCTAAAAGCCTTTCCAACCCTAACATTCTAAGGATCTACAACTGTACTGTCTACTATAGTAGTCACTAACCGCATGTGGCTAGTGAACACTTGAAATATGGCTAATCCAAACTGATATATAAGTGAAAAACACATAATGGATTGCAAAGACAGTGCAAAAAAAAAAAAGAGTATAGCTCATTAATAATTTTCATATTGATTAAATGTTGAAATAATATTTTGGATATATTGGGTTAAGTAAAACAGTTTATTGATTTCACCTGTTTCTTTTTACTTTTTGAAATGTGACTCACATATATTTCTAATAGACAGCACTGTTCTAGAAGATAAATTAATCAAGGCTGGAAGATGTTAAATAACTTTTCAAGATTACATGGCTAACAGGGAGTCAAGTGGGAACTAGAAGCCAGGTCTTCTACTTCCACCGCATTTCATCACTTCCCAATAGAGCTTTATGGTGTTGCTTGCCCTAGGACAGTATAGTACATTCCCAAAAACTGATCAAAAGTCAAAGAGTATCATTAAAAGGCATTAGACCAAGGTTCGGGAGTCTGCAGTTCAAGTCCCATCTCCTACTCCACACTGTTTGCCCCTGGGCACTTCATTTCACATTCTGGGCCTCTCTAAAATGAGGGAATGTAAAAAAGTGAAGCCTTTTTGTCACCCAGGTGACACTGCAGCACTGACATTCTGCAGTTCTGTGAAGGGAATGTGATATATCTCACACCCAGAGAGAGGACAACCTCCCTGGACTTCATCAGGGTGTGCAAAGTACAAGAGGGCAAGGAACCCCCCTCAGCAAAGTATCAATCTATTAAATGGACTCGTGAGGTCCATAGTTGCCACTGAAAATGAAGCCTGTGTCTGTAATAAGCCTTTGTTTATCTTAGTACATCTAAACCATCTTTTTGAAAGACAAACTGTCTTCTACCTGAGGATCATTACCTTGTTGTATCAGCAGGTAAAATTAAATTCTGCTGCAATGCCAAATAGTTACATAATCTACAATGACTCCAGAGAAAAGGTCTAAAGAGCACTGAGCAAAATCCAATGTGTAACAGCTTAAACTAGACAAGGAAAGAGGGCTATTAATCTTGACAATTTTAAACTCATCTTCAAAATATCAAAAACCAATTCACTTTGTGAATATACTAAAAATCACTAAATTGTACACCTTGAAATGGTGAATTTCATAGATAAGTTACATCTCAATAAAAATTCAACATCTATGTAATAAAAAACAATATAATAAAAGTATCCCATGTATGAAATAATAAATTTACTAATGATAGGATTTTTTAAGGAATTGAGGTTAGCAAGTAATTAGGCAATCTCTAAGTTTACATAATATCAGCCACTTCAAATTAATTAGAACAAAAGAGAAACGCCTTTTAGTCTACTCTTATTCTCAGAAAAGAATGCCTTCCCCATCCCTCATTGACTGTGGGATATGAACAAAGTCACTTCTCACCCTGGGGTCTCCTCTCCTTCCTCTGTTAAAGGGAAAGTGGGACTGGATGCCCAGTGGAACTCCATACAGTTGGCATTTTCAACTCAACATTTTTTCTTTTTTTGTAACACAGTCTCTCTCTGTCACCCAGGCTAGAGGAGTGCACTGGCATCATCGTAGTTCATTGCAACCTCAAACTCCTGGGCTCAAGCGATCCTCCTGCCTCAGCTTCCCAAGTAGCTAGAACCATAGGTGCACCACCACACCTGGCTAATTTTTCTATTTTTTGTAGAGATGAGGTCTCGCTCTTGCTTGGGCTGGTCTCAAACTCCTGGCCTCAAGCGATCCTCCAGCCTGGGCCTCCCAGAGTGCTAGGATTACACACATAAGCCCCTGTGCCCAGCCCTAACATTTTTAACAAATATATAAATCTACCTAATGTGAGACACAGGTTAAAAGCAGATGCTTCTTTTATCAGTTGTTTGTTTTAAATTCATTAAATAACAAATTATCTGTAGCTCAGAATTTGTAAACTATTTAAACTCTCACATTATGGCTCCTGTGCTCTGGAAATGACAACAGCTTCTCAGTTGGACACCATTGCAAATTTCATGTCAAAGAATGCATGCCACCATTAACTTACATATTTTAGATACACATCTGAACTTCCACATAAAACACTAAGTATGAAAGTTTTCCTCTTTGCTTAAAAAAGGTAATGCATTCAACTCTGTGAGAGGTCTTAACAAACAAAATAACTCTCAGAGGTATAATCTAAAATCTCCAGTCTATCAGGGTCCGGGCACTCTGGGTCAAAGGGAAGGATAACTACCACTTTCAGGAAAATACTAAGGAAAATCCTAAGGAGAAGTCACAGTTTATAATGTATTGGCTGGGTACATCTAATGGATGGATGGATGGACAGCCAGAGAGATATAGCACGAGAGAAAAAAAACAGGTAAGATAGAAAAATGGGCAGGGCGTGGCGGCTCACGCCTGTAATCCTAGCACCCTGGGAGGCTGAGGTGGGACAGTCACTTGAGCTCAGGAGTTCAATTTCAGCCTGAGCAGGAGTGAGACCCCATCTCTACCAAAAATAGAAAAAATTAGCAGGGTGTGGTGGCATGCACCTGTAGTCCCAGCTATTATACTTGGGAGGCTGAGGCAGGAGGATGGCTTGAGCCCAGGA